TATACTTCTCATGAGTTTTATCAGCCAGGAGCCAGAAAAATCATCCTGGCAAGGTGACCAGTAAAAAAAGCTTGAGGAGAATGCTATTTATCCTTCTATGGAAAGTATAGTGCACTCTCTCAGTAATAGTAATGGTGATAAGAAATAATTTTCAGTTAGTGTGATAATATTTTACACATTTGAAACCTATTACTGATGTATAAATAAATAATCAACACACGCCGGAAGAATACAATAATAAACTTTCTACAAACCTATAACCAGCGTGAAATATGTTCAATTGCTTACGCTAACGTTTTCGGATCCCACTGGATCCTTCATCAGGCTATGTTCCATTTGTAACGATCTGTTAGAATGCCAGCTGTCTTTGGAACGAAATTTCAAATATCGTATTTCGGGTTCCATTCGGAATTATGTGCCGTCTAACTCGAAACTTCATCTTCTGCGCAATGAGAAAGACAAGCCGAATCAAGACAGACTTCCTGGGGTGTATGCAGTGCCGCTCACTGACCATAGATGCGACAGAGAATTAGTATACATTGGAGCCACGAAAAGAGTGGTTGGAGTAAGATAGAAGGAACACCAAAAGGACATTATACACAACAGATGTACCACTGCTTTATCTGTATATGCATCGGATCCGGAAATATCTGCGGACTTCGCGAGAGCCAAACTCCTTATCACAACGTCATATGTGGACCAACTCAGATGGTTAGAACAAATAGAAATATGCAAAGCCTACGACTCATCAACCTCCATTAATTCCAAAGATAAAATCACGTTATCTTTGGCGTGGCAAGCCTTAATACAGAAGGGAGATTCAAATTAAAATGACATCGGTACTTGTAATAAGTTAAAAATAGCTACACGCATTTTCTCTGACTTCCGACACGCTCAAACAAATTTATTCATAAAAATACATAATCCGACATACAAGCAGACGATCGTTACATAGCAACTGGAGTTTCGAGTTAGAAGGCACGTAATTCCGAATGGAACCCGAAATACGATATTTGAAATTTCGTTCCAAAGACAGCTGGCATTCTAACGGATCGTTACGAATGGAACATAGCCTGATGAAGGATCCAGTGGGATCGAAAACGTTAGCGTAAGCAATTGAACATATTTCATGCTGGTTATAGGTTTGTAGAAAGTTTATTATCCTATTACTGATGATTATTATTTCAGAATAATGATTAGTTTATTCTCAAATAATAATGTAGTCACAAATTGCTTATTACTGATTTATTCCTTTATAAGAATTTATCTAACAATGCAGTCAAATTATATTATTGCTAAGTTAAGTAGTTAATGATATACAGTGAAAGTTAGACTTTAGCACAATTTTTTTTAATATAAAAACAATTTCTTAACTTAAATACAAATAGTTAAAGAGTAGAATTAAAATGTCATATTTTGTAGTTTAAAACAAAACCCAAAAATGTAATCTTCAAATAATTAATTATTTTTTTATTTTTTTCATGTTATGTTTTCTGTAATGTATAGAATTTCATATAAAAAAAGATTTAAATATCAAATTTCCAGCCATTATAAAAATATACAATAACTAACATATTATATTATCAAACAAAATAATCTCATACTTCTGATTATATATATATTATATAAGAATGAACTGATGCATTTAGAATATTTTAAAATTACAATAATATTTTTAATTTATAGATTATTCAATTAAAAATTAAGCAATTATAATAAGAACTGCTAAATATTACAGTTAATATAAACAAATATGATAAGATTTCTGATATGGTTATTAATTAATAATCATATTCAAAACTTTTTTAAACTCTAAAGAAGCAGTTCCCAACTTATTTTAATTATTGAAGTATTTAACCTTGATAAAAAAAAATTTTAAACCCTGACAATTTTTACTGATTATGAATAAAACAACAAATCAAGAAATTAAAAATAGTGTATTGAACTTACAAAAACAGATTAATAATGGAAAAGTAAATTATTATTAATTCAAACTAGAATTTGATAGGAAGGATTAATTTTAGATAATTTCATCAGCAAATGTGGTTGGAGTTCAACTATTGGGAGATAATAAAATTCATTGGATTTTTTTGTAAATTGCTAAACAAACACTAAAGTATCCAAATATTGCTATCCGTAGCACTGACAACAATGAAGACTTTAGTATTTGAATACAAAGAATCAAATATATGATCTGATTTTCTCACCATTAAGCTTAACAGATTTTATTTTCAACAAATATGGGCCAGGCAGAGTCTGTGCATATGTCCCCTTCCCTATGGAATATTCATAATTTTTTAACATTATTTAAATAAATATTTATACAAATTTTAAACTCCTAATTAACATTTAAAAACTAATTTTATTGTGAAACCCAAAATTTTTATTTGTTGTTCTGCAGAACACAAGTTGAGAACTGCTGCTCTGGAGCAAAAGAAATTAGTATGGTAAAACCTTGTTATTTTGAAACTTGAGGGACCAAAACTCCACGTCTTTGAATTATCTGGGTTCAAATTATCCAAACTTTTTTCAAATTAAAGTTTTTTTTTTTAATTCTCAAATAAAATTATGAAGTTATACAAGTTCACCCATTCCTTTACAAATGCATTACTATTACAAGTTATTTCTTAAAAACTGTCAGTCAGCATATACTTAGTGAAAACAAAACTACAAGGGGTGTTCAAAAAGTATTGAATCTTTGATCAGCAAAAATGCATTTATTGAGTTTGAGATACAAAACCCTAATCCCCTTCAAAGTAGTATCCTTGACACTTCTCCCACTGCTCCTGCCATTGCTTGAAACACTGCTCAAATGCATCTTTTGGAATGGCCATCAGCCGGTCCGTCACATTCCGCACGATGTCTTCTCTTGACTCAAATCAGGTTCCTTTTAGGGGCATTTTCAACTTGGGAAATAGCCAAAAGTCACACGGAGCCATGTTGGGAGAGTATGGAGCATGACGAACCACAGGAATGTTGTGTTTAGCAATGAAAGTCTGAATCAGCAGATATGAATTTCACAGACACTCTCTTCATACCCAAATCCTCAGTCAAAATTGAATGTACCGATCCAATGCTTACTCCTGTCTCATTTGCAAGTTCTCTGACTGTGATACGACGGTCCACCATAACCAAAGTCCGCCCTTGCTCAATGACAGTCTCATTTCAGCTTGTTGAGGGTCTGCCTGAATGCGGTTTGCTGTCCACTGATGTGCAGCCATCTTTGAAGCAGTTGTATCATTCCTTTATTTGTGTGTTGCTCATGGCATAATCCCCGAAAGCCTGTTGAATCTTGCAAATGGTTTCCACTTGAGTATCACCAAGCTTTTGGCAAAATTTGATGCAATATTGCTGCTCATGTTGTTCATTCATTTTCCAACTTACTGGAATCCGACAAGCGCTCACTATACGTCCACACTCATAGGCCGACTCCCAGTGACTGACGCTTCCTGTGGGTGGGAAAAAATTCAGGACTGCTCATGACTGTCCCCCTCCACATCTCCACCAAAGGAAGCCTCCCATGTGTCATTGGTTTACACAGGAAAAATAAAGGTCCAATACTTTTTGAACATCCCTCGTATATTCAAAGAAAGATTTGAAAATAATGTATGAATGAAGCTTAAGTGAATAAGAATAAGAATAAAATCTTGAATTTCGTCTAGAGGATCAATGGCTCATTTTCCATCTTAAGTTTGGGATTATGAAAATTGTGATCTGATGAAAACAAATTCTATTAATTAATGGATAAGTACACATTTTATCATGAATACTCACATATATTTAATGGACTTTGAAATTATTGAAATGATAGATTTTTATGAAAATGTCCAAAATAATTAATTGCCAAACAGATTTCTTTCATAAAAATAAAAAAAAATAAAAAATTCTATCTTCATTGGCAATGTGTACAATGTCCAAATGACCTTGAATGGACATCCAATAGATCAATAATATATAATTGGTAAAACCAAAAACGAAACTGCCACTTGGGAATGAAAACTTTCCTTATAAATATTTAATATGATGGAAGATTTCAAATTGAACAATATTTTTGTGAATCACAAGAACAAAGCAATCGATGAAGATTGCTTTCTTCTTGTGTTTTGTTCGTTTTTGTGCCTATTTTCCATTCGGCACACATAATGCTGTTTTTATTTTTGACCCTTAGATATAAATTCCATTAAGTGTGCTCAGTCCCATCAGAGAGCACTGACATTGTAACTTTAATACCTCTGTATATTGAAAATGAAGAAGGGACTCCTATTTTTTACATTTAAATGAACCCTTATTACATTTTTGGATTCCTCACTGCAATTAATGGAAAATGGCAAAGTTTCATCAAAATTGGCCCATTAAATTTTGAAAGCAAACTTGATTCTATAGCAAAGCCCATAGAAGAGGTGCTAGTAACCATGGAACATTGCATGATGAAGTCACGTGATTCATGCGATATAGCTTTGTCATGCATGCTCATGAAATGACCTTATATCTCGAAAACGAAGTCATAAACTCACATTTTTTATTACATTTTTTTGAATTCCTCATTGCAATTAACAGAAAACGGCAAAGTTTCATCAAAATTGATCAAACAGATTTTGAGAACAAACAATTCTGTAAGCCACATAGAAGAGGTTTCTCTAATGCTCCACCTCAAATATAATACATTAGTTAGTTGATAATTATTTCTAATATATTATCATCAGCAAGTACAAAAAAAACCAATTAATTAGACTGCAGATATTCAGTTTCAGTAAAGCTACTATCAATGTATCCTTAGTCCATACAACTGATTTTCTTTGAAGGCAAAATAAAATGGTTCAAACATATATCTGTATTCCAGTATTTGAAGTTATCCAAATACCGTAAAATACCGGCAAACCAAATTAGGAATGTGGATAAAAAATATATCTAATCATTTGCAATTTAATTCAACCAATTGTTAAAATTAAATTCTAACAATAATTATAAAACTTTATGTAAATCACATCAAAACATTTTACCTCAAGTAGATATCTCAATTAATGCTTCTTCTAACTTTTTTCTTGCTTGATGAACTTTCTCTTCTTGTTTTCTAATATCATCATCTGTTACAACTAATGCCTAATAAACATAAATTAGTTTTTCTTTGTATAAGTAAATGTAATTATATACAGAAAATGTTGATATTTTATCAAAACTAAAAATATAGTTTTTATTATTATATAATTTCTACAAATATTGCAGATAACATTATTATTGAGAATTTAAATAACAGACGAAAATTTTATCAATGTGGATGAGATAACTAAATTTTGATTGCAAGTATGACTTTTTGAGGATCCCAGGTGAATGCATGCAGTTAATTTAGATTCTTCTGCAAGTGAATTTTAATAAACGATATATTAAAGTATTTATTTAATATTTAATCTAAACTTTACTTAAATACTCATTTGGTTCATTTATGAAGCTAAATTGCAAAAGAATAATGTGCTAACAATGCAGGGATGGATCAAGCGCTATTTTACAATTTTCTTATTTATTTTGCAAAATATATTTAATGATTACAAAGAAATAAAGCCAATGTATTTATTAAATATTAGTAAATTACATTAGTAAATAAAATAAATTATTAATGAAAATGCTCAGCTTTTTGTTAGTATTTTTCTTACTATCAGAATTATCCTATATGATTTATAAAATAAAAATTT